CCCTGAGCCTCCCTCCCAATGAAAACAACAACTGCGCCCTCAGCCACCAGCCCGCTCCGCGCGCACCCCCGCACCTTTGTATTTTCCGCACTGCGCCTCCTCTGAGCCCCAGTATGCTGTTCTCTTTCCTTCTAGTTGAAAAATTTCCCCTCAGCCAGCTTTCCTGTGGTTCTGGGTGATGTCCGTTCTGTCTTTTAGTTATATTTTTGAAGTGGTTGTTCGAGGCAGCAAACTCCGGTGTTTACCTATGCCGCCATCTTGGTTCTCCTCTATTTTTATTCTTTATATTGCTTTATTTATTACTATTTAAATATTTTTTATACCTAAAGCTTCCACTTTTTTCTTCCTTTATAACTTCTTTTTTTCTTGCTTTATATTGCAGCATCTTCCCTCATCTCTCTGAAGCATAGTTATGTTCTCAGTAAATTATTTTTCTATGCATTCCAATAGTTCTGCTTCAGTTGATACTGAATATTGTTCATGTTACCATATCTTTTATGTTGTTTTACTCCTCAAATATACAGGTATTTTTACTGTAATATTCCTTGATGGCTTTAGTTGTGTGTTTTTTTCCTGCTAAAGTGAGTTAGATAATATTGAAGGCCAAGCTTTAGTGGCTTTCTCTCCAGTGAGTGTAAGGACAGGAAAAGGGAAGGCCCACAGCTGAAGGTTCTGGAGCCAGTGTTGCACGCTCTGGTTCACTGCCACCTCACCAGGTCAGGAATCCGTCTGTAAGATCTCAGCAATTGTCAGCATTAGGAAGAGGTGTTCTCTGTAGGTTGTGCTCCACCAGCCCTTGGGGTTTGGAGGAGGAGGAGGTGGAGCAGTAAATGCTTGCACCTGTTCTCATCACCTCCCAGCTGGGCTTTGACCTGCCCTGTCATCACTCTGCTAACACCTGTGACCTAGTATGCTGCGGTTGATTTTTCTGTTGAAGAGGGATAGCAGTGATTGTGGAAATTAATAACTTTGATTCACATTGCTGAGGCTTCTATAGTTTCAACAAAATGATTATTCAGAGAAAATCAGCAGCTCCCTGTTGTTGTTGTTTGAGTATGTTCTTATTGATTTCAGAGAGAAAGGGAGAAGGGTAGAGAGATAGAAACATCAATGTTGAGAAAGAATCATTGATCGGCTGCCTCCTGCCGGAGATCAAGCCACAACCCGGGCATTTGCCGTGACCAGGAATCTAACTGTGACCTCCTGGTTCATAGGTCAACACTCAACCATTGACCCACACTGGCAAGGCCCCTCTTGTTTTCTTATACTCCATATCTTTTTGCCCAGTGAAGAAAACAATCTAGTTCCTATCACAAATCCTTTGCAATAGGAGATCTCTATGCCTAGAATGTTCTTTCCTCAGATCTTCAAAGGCCGGCTCCTTCTCATTAATCTCATATCACCTCAAATATTACCATTGCTGAGAGATCTTTCTTGACACTATATTTAAAATAGCCACTCTTCTAGGTGCTATCATATTGTTCAGTATATTTTTCATAGCACTTACTATAATTTAAATTCTTTGTATTTATTGCCTATCTCTTCCCACTAGAATGTAAGTTTCTGAGAGCATGTATTTCTTTTTATTGTTGTTGTTTATTTTTCTTTTCTTTCTTTTTTTCCCCCTGTGGGAATATGACAGTCTATGGAATGCCTAGAGCCTAGTGAGTGTGTAATATCTTTAAAGTAAAAATAAAAAACTGAATGGATGAAAATAACACATATGGCCATTACTTATCTTGTTTTCACTCTATTTTTTTTTAACCTCTTCCTAAACATATGGCATGAATAGTGGGGTATGTCCTATAGCTTTTCTTTTCTATTTTAATTTTTCCCTCTTTGTTGGCTTCTTTGTTTCTCAATGTAATCTTCTGTTTTACAAATTCATTATATATTTGTATTCATCCTACCTTTGTTCTTTATATTGTATGACACACTAGGTTCAGGTCTATATTTTAAATGTTTCATATCTATAATTAAATATTTTTATTATGACAATCTTGACATCAAAAATTTTATTTTGCAATGTGACATCATAAAGAAAAAAATCGCCGGTTTTATTCTTAGATTTTAGAAAGGAAGTAAATTCAAGTTAACTCTATATATTTTTTAGTTAGCTTATGTCACAATAGTGAGTTGCCAAATAATGTTTCGTAAGAATTCATTTGATCTTCAACATGAATCTATAATGTGGATAGGGTGTGAATTCCCATTTTTCAGATGAGGAAAGTGAAGTTCAAAGAGGTGAAGTAAGTGGGTGGGTGATCTGAGAGTTAAACACTAGTCTTTAGTTAGTACCTAGTGCAGTTGTTTTTCTCACTGTTCAAGTTTGTCCCTGAGTATATATCATATTATGAGAGTCATGATTTTGGGATTTCTCCAATTATCTCTAAAAGGTATTTAATTTTATTGGTTTGATTGTCAATAGAGAAAACAACAGGGGCAAGAACAACAACAATAAGTGGTTATGATGTACTGGGCACAGTTTTAAATGCTGCACATGTATTCATATATTTAAATCTCTTAGTAATCCTGAGAGCAGTCTATATGCATTTTGCAAATGAGGATACTAAAGCACAGAAAGGTTAAGTAACTTTTCCATATCACATAGCTAGTAAGTGGTAGAGTTAGAACTATGAACCTAAAAATCTGGCTTGTGATCATTACCCTAACGGGTAATAACAGAAACTTTACTGCAGCTTATAGTTTACAGTGAGCTTGAAAATGTATGATCTGCAATACCAACCTGTAAAGAAGGCAAGCAGGATTTTATAGACAAGCAGTCCTAAGTTTCAGAGTGGTGATTTGGTGTCTTACACAGACAGCAAGGAGCTACAATTATACTGAAATTCTTCTCATATGTAATTATGTCTCTGTTCTTGAACCATGTTTTATTGTCCCCGATTTTATTATCTCAGTGTGGTTTCCTTACTATGTTTTTCTTCTCCAGTGAATTATATTGTTGTGGGCTTAAAACAGCCTATGCCTTACCCGGGGTCGGCAAACGGCGCCTCGCGAGCCACATGCGGCAATTTGGCCCCTTGAGTGTGGCTCTTCCAGGAAGTACCACGTGCGGGCGTGCACGTACAGTGCGATCGAAACTTCGTGGCCCATGCGCAGAAGTCGGTACTTTGTGGAGGAGCCGCTGTTTTGTGGAAGAGCCACACTCAAGGGGCCAAAGAGCTGCATGCATGTGGCTCACGAGCCGTGGTTTGCCAAGCCGCAATTTGCCGACCACTGTGCCTAGCCGGTTTGGCTTAGTGGTTAGAGTTTAGGCCTGCAGACTGATGAGTTACAGGTTCGATTCCAGTCAAGGGCACATGACTGGGTTGAGGGCTCAGTCCCCTGTGGGGATGTGCAGGAGGCAGCCGATCAATGATTCTCTCTTATCATTGATATTTCTATCTCTCTCCCTCTCCCTGCCTCTCTGAAATCAATAAAAATATATTTTAAAAAACACACAAAAAACAGTAATTAAGTACCTAAGGAATATTTTCTCTCTTAATGTTCTTATGTTCTTTAACCACATCTCTTACAGTTGAATTGCGATGATTTCAGGAAAGGAGAAAGAGATGGGGATTTTATCTGTACCTTTGATAATGCAGCTGTGTGTGGCACAGATGGGAAAACTTACAGCAACAGATGTGCCCTGTGTGCTGAGAACATGTGAGTATTCTCTGAAGCAGGCTTTCTCCCTACAGCATTTTCTCTGCATAATTACATGACACATTTTTTCTTATGGTCTTTAATGATTCATTTTGTGCGAGTTAGTCATCCATAAATTATTAGAACCACTTCTTTTACTACCCTTAAAGAAAAATATTTATATCACTTTATATTTTACAAAGCACTTTTGTGTGCTATTTATCAGATGGTTCTCACTGCTTCTATGAAGCAGATGTGTGTGTGTATATAAATATATATATATATGCATATATCTATACATACATGCAATATACTACACACATTTATCTGTTTTCTATTTATCTATTCCTGATTGTATTCTGTTCTACGGGGAATTATTTAATCATCAACTTATATTACGTTCTCAGTAATTTATAGTACTAGAGTAGGTAATTGGGACTCTTAATGTTGAACTTCTTTCTATCTCTTTAACCTTCACCACATCAATAAAGCATCTCGCTGTCCTATATTTTGTCCCATTTGTTCCTTCTCCACCCTCAATGCTAGGTTTGGTTATCGATTGTATTCAACTAACAAGATAGCATACTTGCTTTGCAGGTTCTGGCTTGTGACCTCAATCTTTAATTGTCTGCTCTACAGTTTTTGTAAATATAACAAACAATGTCTGAGAAGAGTGGTAAAGGCTATGAAAGAGATTTAGTCTTCAAGGTTCTGCAAGCTTATCCCTCCTTGTAATAAATATCTTAACCAAGGCACCACTGGATTAAATCACTCCAATCCCTCACATGACTGCATTTTCAGAAATACACTCTAAAATTAGATCCTTAACTATAACACGTTTCTTATCACTTTACTAAGTTTTTACTTTTCTTGTTTGTATTGTATTTTTGTTGTTATATAAATGCTTTAGTTGCAAGCTGCCTTATCTTTATAGAAAGTAGGAAGTGTGGCCTACATTTATGGTTCTATGTTTTCAGATATGCTTTAAAGCTCTATTAGATGGAATAAGGTTAATTATTAAGACATCATGAACTTTCCATGAAAAACAAAGGATGGTATAATGGGATGCTAGATACTGTAAACTTGAATTTGTTTATTAAAACCAAGAACAACAAAGTTCCTTGGGGGGCATCTAATATCTAATTACAAGCTTTACTTTTTCCCACAATTCTGATAAGGTCCCCTCTGGACATAGCAAAACAAATCCGGAAATAACATTTACAGGTGTGCATCTTATTGCCCTGTCAATGTGATTTCATTTCTTTGACTCCAAGCTATAAACCCAGGCTCTCCTTAGAGTAAGTAAAGAAAATAATGCAATGTGGCGCCTGTTTTCAAGAGCAAAGAATCATAAAACAATGAAGCTAAGTCTCGAATGATGAGAAGTTCTGTGATACTAAACTGCTATGTCTCCGAACTTTCAATTCCAGTAAAACCAGGTCCCAAGTCGGCATAAAAAACGAAGGGGAGTGTGAAAGCAGTAATCCAGAGCAGGTGAGCACAAATGTGAGAGGGTGGGAAACAGTGGGGCTGGGCCGCTGACTTCGAAGAGAAAGAAGGCTCTTTGCTCCTCCTTCGTTGGTGGGGTGGTTGGAAAGAAGTAATTCCTG